GTTCGATCCCCAGGTCCGGTTGGTACGTGCCGGGGCAGCCCAAGATCGAGACGCGCGGGCCTTTAAGTGTCGCCAGCCTCAGCTGAGCTGGGTGAATCACGCCGCAGCCCGGGAAGGGGGCGGAGGCGCCGGCTCTCTGGCTCCGGCTGCGTGACTCACCCGCCCCCGCCGCCGCCGCTTCGGGAGGAGCCGCCTCCACTGCCTTCCGGTAGCGAGCGGAGGCCGAGAGGGCAAAACAGCCCCGGGTGGTAGACAAGGAACGACGGCCGGGACGCGGGGCTACGTAAAGAGTCTTGGGGTCTAAGGGGCTGGTATTCCCGGGGGAAGGCCCGCCTGGCGCCGCTAGGGGGCGCGGAGCCCAGGGGGCGGAGTCGGGGTCGGGGGCTGAATTCCTGCGGTTCCGGAGCTCCCGGGTCTACCGCGAAAGAGGCGAAGACCCAGTTCTGAGTTGTGTGAGGGGTTACTCTTAAGGTCCTGCTGCACAAGGGCCTGGAGACTGGACCCTGCAGGCTACCTGGCCCAACAAAGCAGCTTGGGCCAGGGATTCAGAACTTTAGGGAACCCCCCGCCCCGGGGAAAGTGTGGGTCCTCAAACTTCTCAGTGACTCTCGTGCCCATCGGGATTTCCCGGCAAGCCGTGTCCACTCTGCCTCACAAATAAATCCGGAATCGACCAACTTCCTTACATGTTCGCTACCGCCTTCTACTCCAAGCGACCATCATCACCCGCCCCGAAGTGTGCGGTGTAGACTCCGAATGGATCTCTAACCCCTTCTCTCCGCACCTCCCCCCATCTTCCTCGAAGTAGCCAAGGTGGAGCTTCTGGAAACCTAACCAATCCACAACACCATTCTCTCTGCCTCAAACCCCTCAACGACTTCCCACCGCACTCACAATAAAATCCAAACTCCTTGCTTCTGCCCACTCCACGCCCCCATCCTGCCGTGTCACTCTGTGCCCTGACCACACTGGTCTTTTTTTTTTTAAGGTATAATTGACAAGCTCATACTGCCTCCGAGTCTTTCTTTGTCTTTGCTGTTGTTCTCTCTTCCCGGATTGCTTTCCCCTTGGTTCTTCCACGGCTGACTCCTTCTCATGCTTGTGGGCTTAGCTCAAATGTTACCTCCTCTGAGGAGCCTTCCCTGACCGCTCCTCATGACCTTTTAGTATCTTCCTAGCACCAGCCACACATTTCCTGTATTTGTTAGTTTATCGTCTGATACATAGTAGATACTGAATAAATATTAAACTATGTGAAACAGCCGCTTTTGTTGGTTAAAAAAGGTTGACAATTGAAGAAATAAATTTTAATAGTTATTAATAATGAAACTTATTAATGAGTAATTGCTATGTGCCAGGCACTGTCGTAATGTTTTTTGTATATTATCTCACGTATTCCTTAAAACAACTCTAGGAAGCAGATACTATTATCGTTTGTATAAAGGTTCCCTAAGACAGCCAAGGCTCAGAGGGGTTAAATGACTTGCCCAAGACCACACAGACAGCAAGTCATCAGAGCCGAGGTTTGAACTCAACATGGGCTTTTCATAACTCAATGACTTCTCCCTCCCCATAGACAATGCTGAGCAAGGGCCTGAAGCGCAAGAGGGAGGAGGAGGAGAAGGAAACCCTGGCAGTGGACACCTGGTGGCTGGATCCCAGTCTTCCAGCAGTGGCACAGGCACCCCCAGCCGCGGCCTCCAGTTCCCTCTTTGACCTTTCGGTGCTCAAGCTCCACCACAGCCTGCGGCAGAGTGAGCCCGACCTGCGGCACCTGGTGCTGGTAGTGAACACACTGCGGCGCATCCAAGCGTCCATGGCGCCCACAGCCGCCCTGCCTCCTGTGCCCAGCATGCCTGCTGCCTCAGGCGTGGCTGACAACCTGCTGGCCAGCTCGGACGCCGCCCTCTCTGCCTCCATGGCCAGCCTCCTGGAGGACCTCAGTCATATCGAGGGCTTGAGCCAGGCTCCCCAGCCCCTGGCAGATGAAGGGCCACCGGGCCGCCCCATAGGGGGCACCCCACCTGGCCTGGGTGCCTTGGACTTGCTGGGCCCAGCCACTAGCTGTCTGCTGGACGATGGGCTTGAGGGCCTGTTTGAGGACATCGACACTTCCATGTACGACAGTGAACTTTGGGCGCCAGCCTCTGAGGGCCTCAAACCTGGCCCCGAGGATGGGCCAGGCGAGGAAGAAGCTCCAGAGCTGGACGAGGCTGAGCTGGACTACCTCATGGACGTGCTGGTGGGCACACAGGCACTGGAGCGGCCATCGGGGCCGGGGCGCTGACTCCAGGGCTGGGATGGTTGTCTGGCGACCAAACGGAGGCTGGCGGTTTAACCAACTCTCCTTGGAAAGACACAGCTGGCTCCTGCAGAACAGAGAGGGGGCTTCGGAAAGACAGAATCAGTCGCAGACAGCTTCACCTCTGTCCCCTTGTCTCAGGCTGATGCGGGGAGTCTGAGATCAGCCCTCGTGATGGAATGATAGGGCCTGGTGGCTGGAATGTGATTGGACCAGGCCTGATGTTGGACTGACTCCCCAGTGGTCTTAGCCTGCGATACGCTCTGATGTGGGAAGAGACCTCAACCAGTTTTTTGAAATTAAAAACCAGTCCTGGGAAATCTCAAGTCTTTGTGCTTCTTTGTCTCTGGGCTAAGGCGAGGGTGAGAGAGTAACCTCTAACATTTATTGACCATGGACTGTGTACCTGGCATGGCTCTAAGCACTTGTGCCAACTCATTTAATCCTCATAACAAGATGGGCATTTTTATTATCCCCATTTTACAGTTGAGAAAACCGAGGCTTCAGGAAGTCATCACTTGAGGAGGTGGGTTTCAAACCGTGAGCTTTACTGTTTTATTGGTCTGAGAAGCAGACCAATTAGGTCTGGTAATTGGCCCTCTAGAAAACTCCCTGGAACAGACTCAACCAGATTTCCCTGGTGCGCCTGCCCATACACCGTGGTGGGGGAGGTGGAGGAGCCTCGGGCCACTTTTAATAAGGAAATCTAGTCCTTGCCTGTGGTCTACCTGTGTGTTTGGGGGCCTGGGGGTGAGGGCAAAAGGGAGCTTTGAGAATGAGCCAGAAGTAAAAACTCAAAGCTGGATGGAACCTCTCCGAGAAGCACTGCGAGGCAGCTCTCCAGGAAAACGGTGACAAAAAGTGGGACTCCAGCAAGCTTTTAAAAAATCTACTCTAGGTCTCAAATCTCAGTTTGGACAGGTAACAGGGCAGCTTAGAGGCTCACTCGAAAATAAAGCCACCGGGTTTGGTGGCTTGACTGAAAGGCGGTCCTGCTTTCCTTCCAGAAGAAACCCAGGCTCCAAGAGCTGAGGCCACCTGCCTCGCTGCCTGTGTGACAGGGCTGGCCTGAGCACCGGGTGTCTGCGCCGCCCCCGTGGTCCAGCCGCATTCCTGGCCGGGCTGGGCGGGGCCGCACACTCAGAGGCCTGGCACGGGACCGTGGCGGCGTCCTTCCTGGCGGCCGTGGGGGCAGGGCAGCGCCCGGGGTGCGGGGGCAGGGGGCGGAGCAGAGGAGCAGGGGGCGGGGCGGTGACCTGAGGGGCCGGCTGTGCCTCGAATGGGGGAGACGCCGGCGAGGGGACACCAGGGTCGTTGCGCCCCAGCACCTCCCCTCTGGCCGGAAGCTTCAGGGAGGCTCAAGCTAGGTGGAACTGGGGGAGGCGGGCAGCTACGGGCCGGCCCTTCGGGCCTGGAAGGGGCGGGCGGAGTGGAGCTTCCTGGAGGAGCAGAGGAAGTCGTGCCCATTTCTGGAAGTGGATGAGGCATCCCCGGGAGGGGAGTGAAAATGGCCCGAAGGGAGCTGCTGCCCAGGCCGAAGATCTTTGAGGGCCTGACTCCAACCCCTAGGTAATGAGACTCAGACTCAGTTTTGACCCAGACCTTGGGAGTTTAGACGGAGCTCGGCAATGCCCCCTGGTGCCCAGTCGGGGGGGGTCTCCGATGCCACTGCCTTAGATTCCCTGGCGATCTGTCCAGTTGTTCAGAGTCCCCCAGTGTGGGGTCAGCAGTGCCCTCTGTTTACAACACCCTGGGGCCTGTTCCTGATGTCTGTGGGTGCCAAGCTGGGGGATAATCTCTGATACCTACTGATGCAGACAGCCAACCCATCTGTCAACGATGCTCCCATCTGTCCCTGTGCCTGCTTGGCCAGTGATGCCACCCTCTCCCCAGAGCCTCTGCGTACGGTTGTACAGGTTGTGCACTGCACATAGCCTCCATATGTAAAGGGCTGCCATGCATGTCTCAGACACTGCTCACTTGCATATTCATTACGACAGTGTCACAGCAGATGGAGGTCGAGCGCCTTGGGAAAGGGGCATGCCTTTTGTACAAAAGCACCATATGGGCTAGATCGGCCCTGGTCCCATACCCCCGGCACCCTCAGGTTTATGAACAGCTCATGCCTGAGGACCTGCCCCCCTGTCCCCATGTCTGACCCCCAGATGATTGTGCAGGCTCCCTGGCTTTGGTGCGTCCCTCCGCCTTCAGGCTCAACCCCAGGAGGCCACGCTACCTCAGCCAGCAGATTCCAGGGCCCACACCATTCCTCGTGGAGCTGCCGCTCTGGCGCTGCTGCTGCCTTTCACAGAGCCTCTGTGTGTTCCCACCACGACACTCCCCAGGCTAGTTCCCCTCCATAGGTGTTCACAGGGACCCCCCATCACACACATACTTCTTTCCTGTTCTTGGTCTCCTTTTCCTTCCTCCCTTCCTTCCTTCTTCCCTTTCCTCATTCAGTGAAGATTTACGAGTACCTACTGTGTGCCCGGCCCTACGTAAAAGGCAAATCTGATCACGTCTTTCCCCTGCTCCGAGCCCTCCGAATTTACCCCAGTCCTCTGGGATCTGAAGCCCGCACCTTCCAAGGCTCACTTTCCAGCCCTGTCCGATTCATCCATCCGACGAACATTTACTGAGCACCTAAGGTATGCAGGCCCGGCGTGGAAATCTAACGATGCTTCGTCAACGATTATTGACACAATAAGCCGTAGAGCAGAGGTTGTGTTGAAAAGCAGACCACCTGTGTTTGAACCTCAGCTTTGCCATTCTGTGGCCGTGTGACCCTAGGCAAAGTACTTAACGTCTCTGGGCCTCAGGGTCTTTATCTCTAAGCTGGAACAGTAACAATACCCACCTCAAAGGGCTGTTGTCTGAGGGAAGAGTGTTCTAGGAAAAGGGAACGGCATGTGCGAAGGCTAGGTGCTGAGGGACCCTAATAACCTTTTCAGGGATCTGTAAGCTTCTGGGTTTGACTGGAATGAGGGCGAAAGAGGTAAGGTCAGTGATGGGGCTGGGGTGCAGGGTGGGCAGGGGCCAGGGTACGCAAGGCGCTGGTCAGGGACTTCACTCCGAAGGCACTAGCATAAAGGGATCTAGAAGTAAAGGGATCTCTCTGGCTGCCGTGTGGACATGGTGGCGGGAAGGTGAGCCCAGGAGCCCAGAGTGGAGGCTGGGAAGGGACAGGGCAGCTATGAGGAAGGGAGAAGAGGGGAGGGAGGAGATGTTAGAGAAGACAGGCTGTGGGAATGATGGGCTGTGATGGAGGAGGGGCCTAGGGGCCTAGAGACCGAGGGCTCTAGCTTGGGGACCAGGGGACAGTGGGACCACACTGGGATGGTAACCAGGAGGAGAAGCAGGGGTGTGGTTAACACTGAGGTATATGGTAGGTGCAAGGGGCTGGGGGTACACCCGGGGGAAGGCATCCAGTCAGGCCCTGGGACTGGAGCTCAGTGGAGAGGGCGGGGGGCAGGAGCAGGCATTAAGGCTGGCGGGGAGGGAGATATCAGTTTTCTTTGGCTGCACTGGGTGGGACCTGGCTCCTGTTTGACTCAAACTGGGTGGGGAGAGGGTGGTCCCCAAGCAGAAGCTTCCACCTCCTTCCCTAGCAGGATGTCCTGTGTTTATTGAGGTGGCCTTGGCCAGAGCCAGGACACCAGTGCCAACCCCGAAACTCAACTTCCTATGGCCACTCCCCCTGGGGTGAGGGAAAGCAAGAGACAGAGAGACAGAGAAAGAGAAATAGACACAGAGAAACATGGAGAGGGGCAGAGACGAGGAGTGAAAACTGAGATGTAAAGAGACACACACAGAGAGACACAGAGACACACACTATTCATGACAAACACTCACTGCACTTTAAAGGCAGCTACACAAAACAGACAACTGACATCTTACTTAAGGGCAAAGGACTGAATGCTTGCCCCTGAGATGGGAACCAGCCAGCATGTCTGCCCTCTGAGATGCAGAGAGGCACCTGCCGCCCTTGTCTGTCCGACCCTGAGCAGTCAGAGGGAATTTTCTTTCTGACTCCAGCCTGGCCTATAGTCCGACTCTTTCCACCCTGAACTACTTAAAACTCAGCTTTGACCTCGTCCCTCCTGTAGATACCCAGGGGTCTCAGGACAAGCTCTCAGCCCTTCCTCTAGGTCCTGCTGACCATGGACCTCTCCTCAACTTCCCCTCACACTCTTGTATTCACCAGTTTCTCAAAGGGGCCATTTGCACACAGACCGTTACCTGAAACCCATTCTCATTTACCCACTACCTGCAGCTTTGTGTGAACTCCCGTGGGTCCTTCAGATGCCAGCTCACACGTCCCCTCCTCCAGGAAGCCTTCTGCGAGCTCCGTTCCTCGGCTGGAGCAGGCACCTTTCCTAGGCTCCCCCGTCAAGGCCCTGACTGACCTCTCTGCCTATGAGTCCCCATCACGACCCTGGCCATTCTGGGTCTGTCTCCCTGTTGTACCGTGAACTCTGTGAAAGCAGGTGCTGGCTATCTTGGTCATACTGTGTCCCTGGCACTATTCAGCATGGGGCTGGGCACAAGACCGAGTATCCACTGACCGCTGATACTGAATAAAGGACTTTCTTCCCCCTGGTGCTTCGCTCGTGTTTGTCCCCCCACCGAAGGACCTTCCCTGCCTTTTCAGCTGAGTCCCTCCTCTCAACCCTCTAGTTTGACTTCAGATGTCACCTCCTCCAAGAATCTTTTCCTGAGCCTGTCTCCAAGGTGAATTTAGGTCCGTCAGTGTCCCTGCCAGCAAAGGGCCTGCCACCAAGGGCTTGTGAACGTTTGTTCAATGAATAAATGAACAGATGGATGTTTCAATGAATCAATGAATATGAGAGAGAGGGAGAGGGACTGGGGTGCAGGTCTCCTCAGGCCCATCGGCAGCCCTGACCAGTGTCCCTTCCAGCCCTCCTGGGAGGAGGGGTCTGGCTGGGCTCCGGCCACACCCCAACACTTGTTGGCTGCCAGGCCTAGAAGGCTTTTCCCAGAGCTCAGCACATTCCTTCTTTCCCCAGCGGCTGAGAGTGGGCAGGGGGCATTTCGGAGAAAAGGGGGGAGGCCCCGAGCATTCTGGGATCCTGCCAACCCGTTCCTGGTCCCTATGCCCTCGGGACTAGGCCCCAAACATGCAGTGCGGGGAGGGGACAGGTCCGCAGAGGGGCCACTGAGCTGGTGTGAGGGGCAAGAGTGCCGACTGAGGAGAGGGCCGGGTGGCCTCGCCTAGCTGCACAATGGGGCAGAAGCTGCTGACACGCGTTTTGGGGGTAATCCCTGGCCTCGCTGTAGCCCCGGCCCCAGGCCTGTGCTCAGAGAGCTGCGAACATCCGAGGCGGCGGCCGGGTGGGTGCGAGGGGCATGTGGGGGTACTTGTGCTCTCTGTGCCGCCCCCCGGGGCCCGGTGAGTCAGGGCAGGCTGGGGGTTGGGGGCCAGGGTGTCAGGGTGAGGCCTGATGGCCTTGGTTTGGGAGTCGGGGATGTCTGGGTTCAAATCTCATTCTTACTGGTTACCTGCTGTGGGTGATTGTGAGTGTCACTTACCCTCTCGGAGCCTCTTTCTTATGTGAAGGGGACAGAAGAGTGTTGCAGCATCTTTGGGGTCCAGCAGAACTCGAGTTGGCTGTACGATTAAAAACTGTAAATCTTCACAACAACCCCATGAGGTGGGCACTTTTACTACCTCTGTTTTAGCAATGAAGAAACTGAGGCCCAGAGAGATGCTGTGACTTGCCGAAGGTCACACAGCCAGGAAGTGACCGAGCTGGGATTTGAACCCAACTGACTGGGAGAAGGAGTGGAAGGAGGTCATTTTAGGGGCCCCAGGAACCAGCAGGGCCATGCCTGGTCGAGGAGTCAGGAACCAGTTTTAGTGGGGTGCTCAGTCTCCAAGGGGCTGTAGCAACATGCGAATCCCAGGAATGGGGCTCTTGGTGGCAGTCTCAGCTCGGGCAAGGGAGTGGCACTATCTTGTGGCTCCCCACCCCCTTGCGTGGTGGATGTAGCTGGGAGAGGGGATGTTTGTTTCCCCACCACCCACCCCCTGGTGATGTCATGCCTCTGCAGCCAATGGCTGGGGTCTCCCCTCCTCCCCCTCCCTGTTCCTTTTCCCCCCATTCATTTTCCCCCCAGGCTAGGGCTGGAGCTGACCAGAAGGACCAGGAGCTCTCGAAGGTGTCTGGAGGCCCGGTGGTAAGAGATCAGCCAGCCAGTCCCTCCCTGGCCAGGCTGTGAAGCTGTAGGAATGAGATGCAGGTTCTTAGGAGGTGCTGGAAGGCTGCCTGGGGCTCAGGAGGCAGCTTGCTATAGAAGTTGAAGGCATAGACTTTGGAGCCAGATCCCGGCTTCCGATCCCAACATTCCTTTCTTTCTGGCTGTGTGGCCTCGGGCAAGATATTTTGCCCTTCGGTGCCTCTGTGTTCTCCATCTCTCTGCATCTCTAAAGTGGGCTGCTGGAGGCCACCTCACAGGGCTGAAGGGAGGGTAGATCAGTTGCTACGTGTAAAGAGCTGGGGCAGGATGCCTGGGGTAGGACAAGTGTTGCGGTCCCTGGAATAGGGTGTTGGGGAGGCAGTGCTGATCCCGTTGGTGGGAGGCCATGCCAGAACTGGATTCCATCCCTCATCCAAAGTTCCCCTTTGGTAGGGAAGAGTGTGTGGCCACCGGTGAGCAAAGGCTGGATAGGAGACACTTTGAGATGCACAGTCCACACTCCCACTTGCTGTCAACGACTAGGTTACATTACTTGAGCACTTACTATAGGCTGAGACTGTTATTCTAAGCACCTGATGGAGTAGGGACTAACGGAGGCAGTTGGAGGCCACTGCCGGCACGCCTCCCCCTCTGCCTCACTAGATGGCCTCAGATCATGTCTAGGGGCCTGGGTGGGTCTGATCGAGCCCTCACCCCCATTGCTCAGGGCATCAGATCGCTGGTGAAGCTGCGGCTCTGAGTGGGGAAGATTCCTAAATGAGACTGTGCCAGCCACGGAAGGAAGAGGGTGCACGGGGCAGAGCTGGGGGGTTCCTCAGCGGGCTGGCCCAGCTCAGCCGAAGGGCCCAGGGACCCCCACTCCAGCCGTTCTGAAAGGCCTAAGTGGCCTCTTAAATGGGGATCTAGGCTGTGCCTTCCCCAGGGAGGTATTTCAAGGATTTAATGAGCTAAGGTGAGGAAGGATCTTTGCATATAGCAAGTGCTCAAGAAATGGGGACTCTGAGAATTCTGGGAGCTCAGGAATACCGGGGTAGCACTCAAAAAATGGGCTGTCGGCATCTGGAGGGTCCTGCCTTGCCTTGACTCACCAGAAACCCATTAGATCTTCCTCTAACACGAGTCAGCCCCCCCTCCCCGCCGGGAACCCCCCTACCTCTCCTTCCCCTGCCTAGTGGGATGGGCAGAGCTGGGAACAGAGAGCGCCCAGGGTGGGGTGGGCTTCCTTCCGAAGCTGCCCCCGCCCCACCCCAGAGGCTGGGTACGTGCGTGGCTCAGGAAGGGCACAGTTGAGCTAAATATAACCTGGGCTGGCGGCTGTCCCGGGCAGGGATAAGGAAGGAGGGCACTCTCTCTTGTCCCTACCTCTGCCGAGTTTCCCGTGCCAGCCTGTGGGTGTGACCCTCCCTGTCCTGGCCTGGAGCAGGGAGCTTGGGCCAGATCCTCCCCTCCATCTCCACCACTTCCTACAAGGACCAGGCTTCTCCCACCCCCAGCTCAGGATGTTATGTTATGTCAGGGACTCAGAGGTCAGCTTCTCAGACCTGGGTTCAAGTCCCAACTCCGTCACTGTGATATCTTGTCTCTTGACCCTCATTTACTCACCAGTGAAATGGAGTACCATGAGGCCACACCTGTAAAGTGCCCGCCTGGCCCAGACTTGGCACCCATGGGGGCCATCTAAAGTACTCTTCTTTGGCACCCTCAACCCCGGCCCCATCACCTGGCCAGCCCTGCTCCTGCCCCAGTTAATTTGCTTCTTGAGCCACCTTTGGTGCTCAGAGCCACCAATGCAAGTTACGGTGGAGAGTTGGGGTCAAGGGCACACGAGGGTCCTAGCTGTGACCCCAGACAGGTCGCTTTCCCTCTCTGAACCTCAGTTTCCATTCCTAAAACGGCCACCAAATCCAGGGTGATTCCAAGGCTTATGGGTGCCAGCACAAGACCTAGTTCAGAGAAAACGTCCCAGATGTAGGAGCCAGCCCTACCTGGTGGAGCTGGGGTCTCAGAGGGAAGGCTGGGAAGGACACGGACCAGGACCCCTGGCAGAGCCAGAGAGGAGCCCTCTGATACCTCAGGGGGCTGGGCCAGAACTAGCAGAGTGGGTACAGCCAGAGCATTGAGGGGGTCCCTGTGTTCTCCCTCTTGGCCAGTGGTGGGCTATGAAGGGCCATTGTACGGCTGGGGGTGGGTGGGCAGGGGCGGAATGCAACCAGGCACAGCAGACAGGCCATTGTCTGAGGGAATGTGCCGCGTGAGGCCTGACCTTTCCCTTGGGAGTGGGGGTTGGCGGGATGGCATGCCAGGCGGGGGCTGGGAGGACAAGGCCAGAGTCAGGGAGCGGGGCAGGGGAGGGATGGGGGGACAATGTCTATCCCCTTTCCTCCAGAAGGGTTGTTGGGGAGGCTGCATGCAAATCCCAGCTCTGCCTGCTTCTTGCTGTGCTGTGTGACCTAGAGCAAGGTTCTCGGCCTCTCTGAGGGGCTAGAGTTTTTCGCAGAGAGGTGGAAAATGAAGGTCTTAGCACAGGACTGGCAAAGAGTGACCAACCACTCAGTACCCGTTAGATATCATTAGAGCTGGAGCTTTCAGACAAGTTCAAGTCCTGGCTTAGCCATTTGTCACCTGAGCAAGTGACTTCCCTCCTCCTAACCTCAGGTGTTTTCTTTGTAATGGGCTCAATAATTGTATTGGCCTCACGAGGGTGTCCTGAAGTCCACGTGCAATGACCCTTGTGGGACCTTCGACATAACATCAGGACCACAAAAAGGACTTAGTAATAACAGCAAGTACCTATGAAGTGACTTCCATGTGCCCCTGGCACTTTATATCTACAAACTCATTTGCCCCTCCGAACGGTCATGTGAGGGAGGTGTTCTCATTCTCCCCATTTTATAGCTGAGGAAACGGAGGGACAGGGAGGTGAGGTGACTTGCCCATGGGGAGTGCATAAGATGGTTAAGATTGCCTTATAATGAATGTGACCCCCCTAGGTCAGCTGTGGTGGTTGGTGCAGGAGCTCTGCTGTTAGACAGGCTTAGGAGTCACTTTTGGCTTTACTGCTTGTCGTCCAGCTGTGTCACCTTTGATAAATGTCTTCTGAGCCTCAGTTTCCCCATTTGCACTGTGGGGATAGGGTATTGACAGTAGGGCAAGGGCCAGGTACTCAAGAAACAATCAGCGGGACTAGCTGATAGTAATGCTCACGTTATTCTTCTTAGAGCCCCGGACCCAAGAGGCCCAAGGAGCTGGAGGTGACCTTGAGGTGAGCACTGGCTGGTGCCACATGCCCCTCCCTTCCCTCCCTGGCCTGCCTGGAGCCTCATGCCTTTGTCTCTCTTTGGCAGGCAGCAAGACCCCAGAGGAAGGGCGTGAGCCCCACAGACGACTGTGTGGCACCCCAGGCTGGGCTCCTGTTAGGAGGGGGTGCCTGTGCCCAGGCAGCGGTGAGAGGACAGCTGGGGTGGGGGCTCTTCTCCCCTTCTGATACTACCATGACCTCTCCCTCAGAGCCTGGCCTCTTCCCCTGTATTCTCTGGCCTCACGCCTCCATCTCTGTCCCTCACAGGCTCAGAGGCAGCTGCTCCATGAGGAACTGAAGCTGGTCCTGCAGCAGAAGGGAGAGAGGAAGCAGGAGCCCGGGGCCCAGGTGCCTCCCAGCAGCGCCATGGAGGTCAGGAGCCGGAGTGCTGAGGTGAGCGCCCACACATCCTCCAAGGGGGACTCGTGGAGCCCGAGTAGGGGGCACAAAGTAGGGTAGCAAGGAGACACTTCCTGGCTTCTCTGTGCCTCAGTCTCCCCATCTATGAAATGGAAATAGCAACAGGGCCTATTTTATGGGTCACTGTGAGGAAAAAACTTTAACATATATCAAGTGCTCAGCACAGTGTCTGGCACAGACTATAAGATGCAAAGCAGCTAATTCATTGGAGCAGAATGGAGTTCTATTAATAATGGGCTAACCGTCTACAGCCATGCCACCCTGAACGCGCCTGATCCCATCTGATTCGGAAGCTAAGCAGGGTCAGGCCTGGTTAGTACTTGGATGGGAGACCACCTAGAAATACTGGGTGCTGTAGGCTTTAAATAATAATAATAATAATAATAATAATAATAATAATAATAATAAGCTAAAGACCTGAGGTTGAGGCTTAGCAGCTTAAGTTGCTGTGTGCCGTTCCATAAATCACTTCTCATCTCTGGAACTTTGTGTTCCCCTCTGTAACGGCCCAAGCTATGGGGAAGATAAACTGAGATGCCCCGCATATAATACTTAGCCCAGGGACTAAGGATAGTGATGATGGTTAAGGATGGTGATGATGGTCATGCTGCTCCCTGCTGCCCCCACAACTCTTCTTACCCCGCTCTGCCCAGCCCTCTAGTGCCCAGGCCACTACTATGGGCATCTGGCCCAGACCTGCTTTCCTCTCTCCAAGTCCTGGCTTCACTTCCAGTCTGTGCCAGCCTAGATGCCCTGCCCAGTGAAGCATCCCCTCAAATGCCTGTTGCTTCAGGTCTCAGCTCACAGACGCTCCTCCCAGCATACCCATGATACCCAACTTTACAGTAGAGGAACAGTCACAGAGAGGGCAAAGTTCTCTCCCAGAGGCACAGAGCAGATTGTGTTCCTAGACTCTCACTGTGGAAGCCCAGATGTGAATTCCATAGTGCGCAGCTGTAAATGACAGTAAATACCAGGAATACCAGGGCCTCTGGTCCACCACTCATTATCCACGCTCCCCCCCTACCACCCGCACTGGAATCCCTCTCCCCTGGGCGTTCTGCAGGTCTTGGGGTCATAAAGCCCACACTGGGCACAGTTTCACACTCATTCAAGCCTGCAAGGAGGCCAGTCCCACCCGTGCCCCTCCATCCCCAACCACTTAAGGATCCAGCCCCTTCTTCAGAATCCCTTCCTCACCTCCATCCCTGTTCTGCTGTTATTAAAGCTCCTCCCCATAGCTCAATCCCCGTCCTGAAACTATGGGTCCCCACCCACTGCCACAGACACACTCCAGCCACACGCCCTCATATCTTTGACCCCTCCTCTCTGGCCGGCGCGCTCTATCCACGCGTGCTCTCTGACGGAGTTCCGCACCCTGAGCCCCGCCCGCCAGGGCTGGTCACGCCCCATTGAGAGCACCGCCCCGCCCTTCTCACAACTCAGGTTCCCTCTGGGTTCCCCACCCGGCCCCTCCCCTACGACCCCGCCCCTCGCCCCGCCCCGCCGTCCGCGCGACCTAAGTCCTAGGGGCTCCCCGAGTCCAGCAACCCAGTTTAACCGTTGACGCCACAGAGCGAGAGGCCCTCGCAGTTGCTTAAAGAGGAAATGCCGGAGCGGGTGGGCCCACACGACCTGCCAGTGCCTTGCCCAGGGGCACGTGCCCTAAGGACCCGTTCAAGAGACACTTTTAAGCGCGATGGCGGGCTCTGGGCGAGGTCTGGCCCTGGCACTCCGTGGCGACTTCTCGCCGCCCTCCGCAGGAGCTGAGGCGGGCGGAGTTGGTGGAGATCATCGTGGAGACGGAGGCGCAGACTGGGGTCAGCGGCATCAACGTAGCTGGCGGCGGGAAGGAAGGGATCTACATCCGCGAGCTGCGCGAGGACTCTCCGGCAGCTCGGAGCCTCAGCCTGCAGGAAGGTGGGCGGGGCCGGGAAATGGGGCGGCCTTTCTACTGGGACCCGGGTAGGAGTCTGCCTCGGAGGCCGAGCCTGGCGGACGACCAAGAGGCGGGGTTAAGGGTTTGGGATGCGGTTTCGTGTGTTGGCATTGCGGTTGCTCAGAGCGGGCTCGAGATTCATTGTCTCAGTTGGACTACCAGATCTGCAGTTTACTAATTTGTGATCTTACTGGGCCTCGGTTTTCTCATCTCTAAAATGAGAGTAATTCTGGCACTTCACAGGGTTATTATGTGGATTAAATGAATCAGCATTTGAAAACACTTAGCACATAGCTAAGTGGCACATAGTAAGCACTATGTAAGTGCTAGTTACTGGTTTTGTCGTTGGGGCGGGAGAAAAGAGGCGGAGCTAATAACTGGGAGGGAGTGGGGAGGGGAGCTTAGTAAGTAAGGGATGTCTTGGGTAACATGCTTGAGGCTGATGTGATTCATTCGTGCAACGACTATTACTAAGTCTTTTCTATTTCCAGATATTATTCTAGATGCTTGGGCCACTGCAGTGAACAAAATAGATAACACTGCACTTGTGGAGCTTACACATTCTAGTGGGGAGAAACATATTTAAGCTAAATGTACAAAATATATAGTAAATTAAAAGGCAATGAATGCTATGGGTGCCAGGAAGGAAGCTGCATTTTTAAATAGGGTGAGCCAGGAAGGGAAGAGAGGCCTGCAGGAGGTAAGGGAAGGAGCTATGTGGCAATCTAGAAGAGCATTCCAGGCAGAGACACCAGCCGGTGCAAATGCCACAAGGTGGGAATGTACCTGGCTTGTTGGAGAACAGCCGGGAAGCCAGTGTGGATGGAACGGAGTCAGTGAAGAAAAGAGTAAGAGATGAAACCAGAGAGGTAAGAGGAGGGGACGTCTTTAGAGGACTTTATAGGCCATGTCGAAGACTGGCTTTTAATGTGGGAGGGTTGTGAGTGGAGGAGAATCGACGATGTTAAACAACTGCATTAGCAGTAGACTGTAGGGGGGCAAGGTGGGGAGCAGGGAGACCAACAAAGAGGCTACTGTGATTGTTCAGGTAAGAGATGGCGATGCTTGGGGCCGAAACTATGTTATTGGAGGTGAAGAGAAGGGTTTGGGTTCTAGATCTATCTAGGAGGAGCAGCTTTCAGGACTGGACATGGGGCGTGATGAAAAGAGAGGAGTCGAGGAGGATGGAGTTGGTAGTCCTACAAATGAGAAATACTGGGGCTGGGGCTTGTTTGGAGGAAGACCGGGAGTACAGTTTGGATCTTTAAATGAGAGTTGTCTTTTGGACACCAGGGTGGAGACATGGAAGGGCAGTTGATATATAAGTCTAGGATGGGGAGAGAGATGCACTTGGACATTGTCGGCATATTTTTGACCTTTAAACTTCTGAATCTGGATGAGTTTCTCAAAGGGGTGAGTAGAGGATGTAAATGAAGAGAGGAGGTCCAAGGCCTGAGCTCTGGATCAGTGTGTCTTTAAGAGGTCAGGGAGATGAGAGGAACCATCTCAGGAGGCTGAGAAGGAACCTCCAGGGAGGCTTCAGAGGGTGTGGCACCCTGGAAGCCAAGTCGAGCAAGTGTATTAAAGGGTCAAAGGCTGGGTCAAAGGCTGAGGGGTCCAAGTAGATAAAGTCCGAGACTTGACCATTGAACTTAGCTACACGGAGGTCACTGCATGGGGCCTTGAGACGAGCAGTTCAGGGTTCTCGGATGGGGTGTCGGAAGTGTGATTGGAGAAGCAGAAATAACGCAGCTAGGCAATTCAGTGCATTTTGCCATCAAGGTGAAGAGATAAATGGGCCAGTAGCTCCAGGTGGAGTGAGGTCAAGACAACTTATGTGAGAAATAATAGTATGTTGTATGCTAATGGGAATAATGTAGACGAGAGGGACAAATCCATGAAGCTGGGGGAGAGGAGAGAATTGCTGGAGGAATTGACCTGAGCTAGGAATGGGACAGAGGATGGCAATCCCTGGGAACAGGTGGAGAGTGGAGTAAATCGCCACAGAAGCAGGGCTGTGAGTGATGGGGTGAGAGTTTTCTTTTGATTCTGGTCTCTCTAAGTAAAAGAAGCAAAATCAGTGTCTGAATGTGAGGATGGGGAGGGGGAGGGGAAAGGCTATAGGTGTGGCCTGAATGGGCGTGGATCTGCTAGTGGGGGAGGTGGAGTTAAGGCCATGGGGCGGGGCTTCGTTCTTCAGTGTTCTGACCCGGAACAGGGAGTAACTTTGCGTCTCAATACTGAGCTTGGGGATAGACACGGCCCAAATTTTGGGCGGGGCCTAGCTGTGCGGGCTCCAGGGAAGTGGGCGGAGGTAGGCCTGGGCGGAGCTGGGAGATGCCCACACACTGCTCACCTCCACCAGGGGACCAGCTGCTGAGCGCCCGCGTGTTCTTTGAGAACTTCAAGTACGAGGACGCACTACGCCTGCTGCAATGCGCCGAGCCTTACAAGGTCTCCTTCTGCCTGAAGCGCACTGTGCCCACCGGAGACCTGGCACTGCGGCCCGGAACCGTGTCTGGCTACGAGATCAAGGGCCCGCGGGCCAAGGTGGCCAAGCTGGTACGCGTGCTTAGCCCAGCCCCAGCGCTGGGCTGCCCCGGCGATCCCGTCTCTGCGCCGTGAGCCCCACTCCCTTACACTGTGGGCCAGCCTTGCCCTGTCTGTTACTAACCCAACGCTAATCCCACCCTTTGCCTCCTGTTCTCTGCCCCTGAACTCCTCTCTGGGGAGGAGAACCCACCTACCCCAGACAAGGGCCTTCACCCGCTTTGGAGAGGCGTCCCCACCTTCAGCTCCAGGCTTGTAGGGGTCCTGATCCAGGGGACTCTGAATCGGAATGCCGGGTTCAAGCCCGATTGCCTCTCACTTACTGCTGAGTGACCCTGGACGAGTCACTCAGTTTCCCCATCTCTAGAATGAGGGTATTGAGGAAAATCCTGGATGAGGACCTCGGAGTCTTGGGTCCCAGTTTCTACACTCCTGTAAGGTTCTAAATGAATGTCTTTGCCTTCAAGGGCAGCAATAGTGAAGTGACAGGCAGGAAGTGGGGATGATGTTCAGGGACGAGATGTTCAATCCATCACATCCCCAGCCTGGTACAATACCAGGTGGGGCTCCCCTTGCCCACCCCAGGCCTCCCACTGTCCCACCGCCTCCCGCCTCTCTCCTCTCTCCCCAGAACATCCAGAGTCTGTCCCCTGTGAAGAAGAAGAAGATGGTGGTGCCTGGGGCCCTGGGGGCCCCTGCAGACCTGGCCCCCGTTGACGTCGAATTCTCCTTCCCCAAGTTCTCCCGTCTGCGTCGGGGTCTCAAAGTCGAGGCTGTCAAGGGTCCTGTCCCAGCCGCCCCCACCCGCCGGCGCCTCCAGCTGCCTCGGCTGCGAGTCCGAGAAGTAGCCGAAGAGGCCCAGGTAGCCCGGCTGGCCGCTGCCGCCCCTCCCCCCAGGAAGGCCAAAGTGGAGGCCGAGGTGGCAGCAGGAGCCCGTTTTACGGCCCCCCAGGTGGAGCTGGTTGGACCCCGGCTGCCAGGTGCCGAGGTGGGTGTCCCCCAGGTCCCAGCCCCTGCAGCGGAAGCGGCCACTGGCTTTGCCCTCCACCTGCCAACCTTTGGACTAGGAACCCCGGCGGCACCTGCTGTGGAGCCTGCAGCCGTAGGGATCCAGGTCCCCCAAGTGGAGCTGCCCACCCTGCCCTCACTACCCACTCTGCCCACACTGCCCTGCCTAGAGACCCGGGAAGGGGCCGTGGCAGTGACGGTGCCCACCCTGGATGTGGCGGCGCCTACCGTGGGGTTGGATCTGGCCTTGCCGGGCGCGGAGGTGGAGGCTCGAGAAGAGGCACCTGAGGTGGCCCTGAAGATGCCCCGTCTCAGTTTCCCCCGCTTTGGGGCTCGAGCAAAGGAAGTAGCTGAGGCCAAGGTGGCTAAGGGCAGCCCCGAGGCCCGGGTGAAGGGACCCAGACTTCGAATGCCCACCTTCGGGCTTTCTCTCTTGGAGCCCCGGCCTGCTGCCCCTGAAGCTGCTGCTGAGAGCAAGCTGAAGCTGCCCACCATCAAGATGCCCTCCTTCGGCATCGGAGTCTCGGCGCCTGAGGTCAAGGTACCCAAGGCCCTAGAGGTCAAGGTGCCCAAGGCCCCTGAGGTCAAGCTCCCGAAAGTGCCCGAGGCAGCCATTCCAGAAATGCACCTCCGAGAAGTGGGGCTCCCAAAAGTGTCAGAGATAAAACTCCCAAAGGTGCCAGAGATGGCCATGCCCGAGGTGCGGCTCCCAGAGGTGCAGCTGCCCAAAGTCTCCGAGATGAAGCTCCCTGAAATGAAACTTCCAAAGGTGCCCGAGATGAAGCTCCCTGGGACGAAGGTCTCAAAGGTGCCTGAGATGAAAGTCCCGAAGGTGCCCGAGATGGCCGTGCCCGAGATGCACCTGCCGCAGGTGCAGCTGCCGAAGGTGTCAGAGATGAAGCTCCCGAAGGTGCCCGAGATGGCCGTGCCCGAGGTGCACCTCCCAGAAGTGCAGCTGCCGAAGGTGCCAGAGATGAAGCTCCCGAAGGTGCCCGAGATGGCCGTGCCTGAGATGCACCTGCCACAGGTGCAGCTGCCGAAGGTCTCAGAGATGAAGCTACCGGAAATGAAACTCCCGAAGGTGCCCGAGATGGCCGTGCCCGAGGTGCACCTCCCGGAAGTGCAGCTGCCGAAAGCGTCAGAGATGAAGCTCCCGAAGGTGCCCGAGATGGCTGTGCCCGAGGTGCACCTTCCGGAAGTGCAGCTGCCAAAGGTGTCAGAGATGAAGCTCCCGAAGGTGCCCGAGATGGCCGTGCCCGAGGTGCACCTGCCACAGGTGCAGCTGCCGAAGGTGTCAGAGATGAAGCTCCCGAAGGTGCCCGAGATGGCCGTGCCCGAGGTGCACCTGCCGCAGGTGGAGCTGCCGAAGGTGTCAGAGATGCAGCTGCCAGAAATACAGGTGCCAAAAGTCCCAGATGTGCAGCTTCCGAAGGCACCTGAGGTGAAGCTGCTCAAGGCACCTGAGGTGCAGCTAAAAGCTGCCAGGGCGGAGAAGGCAGAGGGGGTGGAATTTGGCTTTAAGATGCCCAAGCTAGGGAGGGCAGGGTCCCCGTCACGAGGCAAGCCGGGCGAGGCAGGGGCTGAGGTCTCAGGGAAGCTGATGGCACTTCCCTTTCTGCAGCCAGAGGTGGACAGCGAGGCTCGTGTGGGTGTCCCCTCTTTCACACTGCCTTCAGTGGAACTAGACCTGCCAAGGGCACTCAGCCTGGAGGGGCAGGTCCCAGCGGCCGAAGTGGGCAGGGCGGAGCGAGCAGAGGGCAAGGTGGCAGCAGGGGTGGGGGAGGTGGCCTTCCGGTTGCCCTCTGTTGAGATCGCCGCTCCACAGCTGCCCACAGTGGAAGTTGAGGAAGGACAGATAGAGGTGATGGAGATGAAAGTCAAACCCTCCTCAAAGTTCTCCCTGCCCAAGTTTGGACTCTCAGGGCCAAAGGTGGCCAAGGCAGAGGCTGAGGGGGCTGGACGGGCCACCAAGCTGAAGGTGTCCAAATTCGCCATCTCACTCCCCAAGGCTCGAGTGGGGACAGAGGCTGAAGCCAAAGGGGCAGCGGAGGCAGGCCTGCTGCCCGCCCTCGATCTGTCCATCCCGCAGCTCAGCCTAGATGCCCATCTGCCCACAGGCAAGGTGGAGGTGGCAGGGGCCGATGTCAAGCTCAAGGGGCCCAGGTTCACCCTGCCCAAGTTTGGGGTTAGAGGTCGGGACACCGAGGCGGCAGAACTAGTGACGGGGGTCGGGGAATTGGAAGGCAAGGGCTGGGGTTGGGACGGGAGGGTGAAGATGCCCAAACTGAAGATGCCCTCCTTTGGGCTGGCTCGGGGGAAAGAAGTAGAAATCCAGGATGGGCGCGTTAGCCCAGGGGAAAAGCCAGAGTTTCTGGCTGGACAGCTTAAGATTCCTGAGGTGGAGCTGGTCACGCTGGGGGCCCAGGAGGAAGTGGGGGCAGAGGGAGGTGTGGCTGTCAGTGGAGCACGGCTGTCAGGCCTGCAGGTGTCTACGACCAGGCAGGCGGGCACTGAGGACCGGGAGGGGGCGCTGAGGATGCCCCTGGGCATCTCTCTGCCCCAGGTGGAGCTCACCGGCTTTGGGGAGGCCGGCCTGGCTGCCACCTCGGGGCGGCAGGCCGAGAGTGCAGTCCCTTCAGCTGAGGGCACAGCAGGCTACAAGGTCCATGTGCCTCAGGTGACCTTGTCTCTGCCCGGAGCCCAGGTGGCTGGCGGTGAGCTATTGGTGGGTGAGGGCGTCTTCAAGATGCCCGCTGTGACAGTGCCCCAGCTTGAGCTGGACGTGGGACTGAGCCGAGAGGCGCAGGTAGGTGAGGCAGCCACAGGCGAGAGTGGGCTGAGGCTGAAGATGCCCACACTGGGGGCCGGAGCCGGGGCCAAGGGTGAGGGTCCTGGGGACCAGCCCCCCGGGGCCGAGCGCACCTTCCACCTCTCGCTGCCCGATGTGGAGCTCTCCCCACCTGCCGTGGGTAGCCACGCTGAGTACCAGGTGGTAGAGGGCGGCGGGGACGCTGGACATAAGCTCAAGGTGCGGCTGCCCCGCTTCGGCCTGGTGCGGGCCAAGGAGTGGGCGGAGGAGGGCGACAAGGCCAAGAGCCCAAAACTCAGGCTGCCCCGCGTGGGCTTCAGCCAGAGTGAGACCGGCACTGGGGAAGGCTCCCCTGGCCTGGAGGACGAGGAGGACCAGGAGGGCGGTGGGGAGGGGGCCTCTGGGCGCCGAGGCCGCCTCCGAGTCCACTTGCCCCGTGTAGGGCTGGCGACCTCTTCTAAGGCCACTCGGGACCAGGAGGGGGAGGCGGCCTCCAAGTCCCCTGGCGGGGAGAAGTCGCCCAAGTTCCGCTTCCCTAGGGTGTCCCTAAGCCCCAAGACCCGGAGTGGGAGCAGGGACCGGGAGGAGGGGGGGTTCCGGGTCCGGCTGCCCAGTGTGGGGTTTTCGGAGACGGGGGCTCCAGGCCCCGGCAGGATGGAGGGGGCTCAGGCTGCAGTCATCTGAAGGCCCTGGGCGGAGGGAGGCTCCCCTTTTATCTTCCCGTCCCGCCCCCTTGTTTCGTGTGTGAGATAACCAACACTAACCCTCAGGGGGCCGGGGCCGGGAAGTGGGTGACTGACAGGCCAGGGCTGGAGGGCCTCCTGCCTGGCTCGTTGGCAGGAGTGCCTGTATCTTGCCAAGCCATGTAAATAAATAATCCAGAGGTAGCCTTGTGTTTGGTCTCTTCTCTACATGGGGGAGTGGGGAGAGGGGAGGGTGGGAAAGGAGTCCCTGAGGAGGAAGGAGGGGAGACTCGAGCCCAGCCTGAGGGAAGTCTGTGCGCTGGGAGACAGGCCACCTGAGATTTGAGGAGCCAGAAAGGCCTTGGGATGGATCTGTCGGAAGGGGGCCTGCCCTAGTCTTTCAGAAGTCATGGGGGCTCCTGAGCAGAACTCTGGGAAGTCCCCAGCGGAGGACAGCTGCAGGACCCCTCTGCTGGGGGCTCCACCTGTCCTGTGGAGCCCCCTCAGGCCAGGACAGCTCCAGGGGCCCTAAGGGACCAGAATGATTGCTATCTACCTGCCCTCTGCTGGCCACTAACGCACCAGCGAGAACACCGGCGTCCTGCCGGCCCCTGTTCCTCCCGGCCGGTGTGATCGCCAGGTCCACCCGCCCCCATCCCCCAGGAAGCCCCCTCCTGCTCTCTCTCCAGGCTCATGGTTTTAGAACCCTGACCCCAGACACCTGGCTGCCTCTTAGGAATAGCCCTAGGGTGCTCAGAACCCACTGGGGCTGGGCCTCAGCTCCCAGGGACCCAACCCCACTCCAAATCTAAGCCCCCAAGCCCCCGCCAGGGCCTCAAGACTCCCCCATATCTCCCTGCCATGCCCCAGACTGGACTAAGGAGACATGCTGTCCAGTCCCAAATCTCCCCCTGCCGCCCCCACATCCACTACTCTGCTCTCTTCCCGTCTCCGCTCTCCCATCCCAGGTGAAGGGCGGTTCCCTGAGCTGTCACGGACCTCTCAGGTACATCCAGCACTTTCTCCCTCCGAGCTGGCCCCTCAGGTCACTGCCTTGTCACACGCTTTCTCTGTCCCCACCAAAAATGGCAGGAATTATCGGCCCTCGTGGTGCACACTCGACCAGCCCCCCACCCACCCAGCATTTAGGGTTTTCCTCGCACTACAGCTGACCTGTCAGTGTCCTCGGTGACCACTCTGTGGTCACACAAAGGGCTCCCTCGTCCTGACTTCTCAGGGCCTCTTTCTCCTTCTTGAACCCTCCTCCCTCCCCCTCCCCCCTCTTCTCTCTCCTCTTGCCCCTTGGGCTCCTCCCAGGCCCTCATCCGGCCTGTCACCCTCCCTGAGGCTTCCACTCCTCATCTCTGTGTGACAATTCCCAAATTCTCTCCCGGGTCCACAAGGGGATCCAGTGGCCTCTGTATACCTCCCCTGGTCTCTCATGGGCCCTAGGAGGGTGCGTGGGTGGCGGTTCAGAGCTTGGCTCTAGGGCCAGACTGTTGCGGGTCAAGGCTTGTCTGGCGCTCAGCCGGGCGACCTTAGGCATTTTTAAAACTTTCTTATGCCTTCATTTTCAATTCCAACAAATGGAGATGTGAAGACATATGTTGCAAGGATCAGATAAGGGTTCTAAAGCACTCAATACGTGTTTAAATGGTTCAGCATTACATTTCCTAATCCGACCTCAGCATCCTCTTCCCCAGAGTGCTCCCATCCTGTCCCTGTCTCGGGGACCACCCACCCTTATCCAGACCCTGTCCTGGACAGCTCCCTCCCTTCCCCACAACCGATCAGTCCCACGGCCTGGCCTCCCAACCTTTCGAGGGTCTCACCCCCCAACTTCCCAACCTCTCCGACTCGCTCCCTTCAATCCACCCTTCTTCACACAGTAGCTCTCTGACGCTCGACGCTGACCCTTCCCTCCCGTGCTCAGAGCTATTCTGTGGCTGCCCAGCGCCCTGAGAGCAATGTCCAAACTCCTTAGCCTGGCAGTCAAGACCTTTTACAACCTGGCTCTGCCCCAGCCACGCCTTCCCCACTTCAGCCACAGGCTGGGGCAGGTGTTTTCTGAACACTCTACTGATCCTATTCTCCCAAGTCAAGGAAATTTGAAAGTTAGAGGATGGAATTTGCTCTTGGAATGTGACTTGTGGGAACGCGGTTGTCCAGTGGACGGATGAACGAACCATGAAAGCGAAATTAATTTTATAAAAGTTTGGTATTTCCTCTATTGTAAAAAATTCACTAATAAATGTCACTGTTGGTTTCCTGAATCAAAAACAATTAATGGACCCCTGCATTCTGTTCGTAGGAGAAGGAAATCAAGGTCACTGGATCACAGGGCTTCTTTCTACCTGCTCACCCGCCTCCCTGTCTGTCTGTCTCTCTGTCTCTCTCTCTCTCTCTCCCCCCCCGCCTAGTTCAGAAGGCCCGCCTTGCCTCACCTCTGTTTAGGAACGTCCCATTGCTCTGTCTGACGTCCAACGTCACACTCCCCTCTCAGTCAACCCTGCACCTATCCAGCCTCTTCAGGGTTCCGCCACTGGGTGGGGGAGGGGGCTTGACCTGCCACCCCACCCCCCATTCCAGCCAGGGGTTCAGGTCTCCAACAACAGAACCAGAGGCACTCAGCAACGCTGGAACCCATTTGGGGGGGCCTGGGGCCCCTCATCCCAAGCCAGGAGGGCTTCGGGGGAGGGGTGCAGCCCCTGGCAGACGTGCGGTGTGGCCCAGGGGGCTGGGGGGTGCCAGGAAGGCTGGGGCGAACCTCGAAAGGGGAGGCACGAGTGCGGTTCTCTTTCCCCTGCTGGGGGGGCCTCGGGGCCTGCGGCGGAGGGGGGCCAGGCGGCTTCGGAGGCAGAGCCTGTGGGGCAGGGGCGGTGGCAGGGTGGTGTCTGGCGGCAGGGGCACCATGGCCACCATCCAGTCGGAGACTGACTGCTACGACATCATCGAGGTGCTGGGCAAGGGCACTTTCGGGGAGGTGGCCAAAGGCTGGCGGCGAAGCACCGGTGAGATGGTGGCCATCAAGATCCTCAAGAACGATGCCTACCGGAACCGAATCATCAAGAACGAGCTGAAGCTGCTGCGCTGCATGAGGGGCCTGGACCCCGAGGAGGCCCACATCATCCGCTTCCTGGAGTTCTTCCACGACGCCCTCAAGTTCTACCTGGTCTTCGAGCTGCTGGAGCAAAACCTTTTCGAGTTCCAGAAGGAGAACAACTTCGCGCCTCTCCCCGCCCGCCACATCCGCACGGTCACCCTGCAGGTGCTCAGGGCCCTGGCCCGGCTCAAGGAGCTGGCCATCATCCACGCCGACCTCAAGCCTGAGAACATTATGCTGGTGGACCAGACCCGCTGCCCCTTCAGGGTCAAGGTGAGGGGCCGCCCAGGGGCCACGGTGGCCCTTTCTCCCGGCTCTTCCAAGCTGCCCTCAGCCCTGGATGCTCTCCCGATGCTGAGGGCTCCCTCGTCCTCCCTCTCGGCCCTGAGGTCTCCCCGTCCCCGTCCACCTACCGGCCCTAGAATCTTCCCCATGTTTCCATCCCAGTTCTGACACCCTTTCTATCCCAGCTCGGAGGTCTCCCTGTCCTTGTTCAATTCTTAGCTTGGCTTCTCTGGCCCAGCTCTGTCCTACGGGGCTGACATTCTAGCAGGGAGACAGAATCGCCAAGATAAATGAGCAAAATATGATATGTGAGCGAGGAGAAAATATGAAGTATGGAGAAGGAGAATGATGTGGGGTGTTGATGAGTAAAACTTTAGACATGGTGGTCAGGGAGGCCTCACTGAGAAGGTGGCATTTGAGGGAAGTCCTGGGTGAGAGAGGGAGCCGCGTAGACATCTGGGCAGAGCATCTGGGTAGAGAGAACAGGCAGTACACAGGCCCTGAGCGGGGAGCGAGCTGAGTGTGTGTATCTGAGGAGCACGGAGGAGGCCAGCATGGCTACAGCAGAGTGACTGAGGGGAAGAGGGAGGAAGCGGGAGCAGGGAGGTGAAGGGGCCAGTCGTGCAGCGCCCTGCCGGCCACAGTGAGGACTTTGGTCTTACTCTATGTAAGATGGAGCCGCGGGAAGACCCTGAGCAGAGGACGTGATCTGACTCAGGTGCTCACGCGTCCGCTCTGGCTGTGAGGGGGACAGACTGTGAGGTGGCGGGAACAGGGAGATTGCGAGGACCCGTCTGACGGGGGCAGCCGTGGGTGGGTGGGACTAGAGTCGAGTTAGTGGGAGGGGGATGTGGGTGGGTCTGAGCAGGTTTTGGAGCCAGAGACAACAGGATTTGCTGACAGATTTTAACTGAAGTATAAGAGAGGACCTAAGGGGGGTGGGGGGACGAAAGCCTGTTGCCCCGAGCAGCTGGAAGGATGGCAGCGCCACTCCTTACCACAGTGAGTTCGTTCATCAACAGACACTTACCGAATGCCTGCTGGGTGCACAGGGGTACCCCTCTGCGCTGTCGCAAGTCCCCGGGCTGCCCCAGCCATCTGCCCCTGACCCCTCTGTCTGCTTCTGGGTTTGTTACTGTCTGATGATCGGTCTGAACTAGGAGGGCTGTGAGGGCAGGGCCAGGGCGGTTTTGGTCACCACTGTGTCCTCGGTACGTTCCAGCACAGTGCTGCCATGGAGTCAGCGCTAAGTGTCAGACATAGAGCAATACAGAGACAGGGAGAGGCAGAGCATTCTGCTCCGAGAGAAAAAAGGACAGAGACCCAAGGAAGGAGAGGCCCCCACAAACACAGCCAGAGACAGGACAGATCCATGACACCTGGCCAGTGGTGGCGTCCCTACAGCATCCGTGGAATGAACGAGCGAACAAATGAATGCGTGCATGCATGAATGAATGAATGAATCCTACGAACACTGACTGAGTGCCCAGGGTCAGATTCAGGCCTCGGCAGTCTTCATTCAGAGTCCAGATTCATGACTATTTTGTCCTCCTGCCTCTGCAAATAGAAGATGAGGGATGGCGGAATGAAAAGCAGAGAAACTCAGAGAAAGAAACTGAGGCAGGGACCAAGACAGAGTCTCAGAGATTCAGAGCGAAAATGGCAGGAAGCTCCTCCCAGAGGCATCAGGAGAGACAAGGACCTGCAGCCATTTAGCGTTAGTTCGAGTGCCTCTCCCAAGGGCCTGTGTGGGTGTTAACAGCGCTTGATGAGGAGGAGGACCTGGGCTTCAGGGAGGTGTCTTTCTAGTGGGCGACGTGGAGACAGAGATGGAGATTGACGCTGAGAGATGAGAGACACAGACAAGTGATAAAGAGGCAAAGAAAGAACAAGAGAGAGACACAAACAAGAGACAGAAAGACAATGATGGATAAAAAGCCTGTCCATCCATCCATCCATCCATCCATCCATCCATCCATCCAACCATCCATCCATCCATCCATCCATCCATCCATCCATCCATCCATCCA